ATAAAGGTGGAAGAGGGAAAAGTCACGGCCGTTAAAATTGACGAAGCTAGAGAGAGATATAGGTGAGAAATTATGATGCATCATTATCTGTGCAACAAGTCCATACATTTGATTTTAATTCTGTTCTTCATCATAATAACAGACGAGCAGCAACCCGCGCCTCCCTCCTGTACTTCATTCTGAACGAGTTGTACAAGATCAACCCGATGTACCAGTTCTCACTGAAGGCATACAGCGTGGTGTTCAAAGACGCGCTGGCGAAGGCCACGCCCTCTGAGGAGCTGGAGACGCGCGTGCTCAATCTGCTCGACAGCATTACTTTTGCCGTATTCGTGTATACCAGCAGGGGACTCTTCGAGAAGGATAAGCTAATCTTCTTGTTCCTTATCACACTGCAGGTGAGGTTTAAAGGTTTTTGAACCTTTCATAAATAGTTTTAAAGGAAAGTAATAAGATTTTATTTAAAATAACATTATGCTTTGCAGATTTTGCAGTGTGATGGTAAAGTGGACCCCAGAGAGTTAGACTTTTTGCTGAAGTACGCGGTGGCACCGGAGCCATCACCGTACACGTGGCTGTCCAACAACTCGTGGGGAGGCATCATCGCTCTTGCCAAAACCGACGCATTTGAGAATCTTGACAAAGATATCGAAGGGGCTGCCAAAAGGTAAGTAATTACCTTACCGCACGAATATTTTATGATGTTTATAGAGCATCAAGAACTAGTGCCTACCATTCTTTATGTAACTGTATTGTGTTAGATGGCAGAAGTACACGGACGGCGAGGCGCCCGAGAGAGACAAGTTACCGGGCGAATGGAAGAACAAGACAGCTCTGCAGCGACTGTGCATCATGCGCGCTCTTCGCCCCGACCGCATGTCTTACGCATGCGGGTAAATAGCCAGTAATCACCACTAGCAGAATATTAAAAACTCAACCAGCATTAACATAGTAGAGTTTTCTAGTGTAGTAAAGATTTTTTAATATTTGATTATTAAATTTCAAATTTCATGTAACTACCTCGTGTCATAGAGCGTTCTGTGAAGAAAATCTCGGCACGAAGTACGTTGAGGCTCGCACTCCATCGCTCGAAAAGTCTTACGAAGAGAGCACGTCTACCACCGCCATGTTCTTTATTCTGTCACCTGGAGTGGATCCATTAAAGGTTTATATTTCACGTCTTTACTTTAATTACTGAAATGAAATCCCTTATATTGTTGTTAATGTACATTATTTTAATTGTTTTAGGATCTAGAAAAGCTGGGCAAAAAGATAGGTTTCTCAACTGATAAGAAGACTTTCCACATAGTGTCGTTAGGCCAGGGTCAAGAGGTGGTGGCAGAGGAGGCCATGGGTGTGGCGTCCTCTATTGGCCATTGGGTCATCCTACAGAACATCCATCTTGTTGCTAAATGGCTGTCGACATTAGAAAAGAAAATGGAAGAGACCTTTGAAAATCCAAGGGATGAATATAGGTTAGAGAAAATATCTATTAAATTAGAAATGTTGGAAAACGCTTTTACTTCATATATGAAAAATCGTATTAGGATTAATTCGTTCTTTGAGATGAACTGATGTTCGATACTTCAAAATTCATAAAAATCATTTAAATATAATAATTGTACGTATCCTTAATGACTAAAGATCCCACAACAATACTTTGCTTTCCAGGCTATTTCTTAGCGCCGAACCGGCGGCTGACCCGGCGTACCACATCATTCCGCAAGGCATCTTGGAATCCTCCATCAAGATCACCAACGAACCGCCCATCGGCATGTGGGCGAATCTGCATAAAGTACGTAGATGCTCTGGTAGTAAATTAATTAAATTGAGGCTTTTTATTTTAAGTTTTACCCATGAACCGATATTTACATAACTTTGAAAAATCTTTCACATATTGCGTTGATCGCAGGCTCTGGATAACTTCAGTCAGGAAACCCTCGAGATGTGCAGTAAGGAAGCCGAATTCAAATCTGTACTTTTCGCTCTTTGCTACTTCCACGCGGTCGTTGCAGAGAGAAGGAAATTCGGGCCACAAGGATGGAATAGGTAAAGGATCGGATCAATTTATCTGTTTATGTTCACTAAGGAAGTAACCTACTGTAGATTGACAGAAATCTACACCAAGGGTCCCACTTAGGGAACAATTACGACACTGAGTGCGAAAGATAAAGTTTAGTAAAGAGTATTCTTAATGTCGATAACGCTAATGTCGGAACTTTGAATGCCAGAGTTTACCCATTCAACTTCGGCGACCTGACGATCTGCGTGTATGTGTTGTTCAACTACTTGGAGGCGAACCCCCGCGTGCCCTGGGAGGACCTGCGCTATCTTTTCGGCGAGATCATGTACGGTGGACACATCACCGACGACTGGGACCGCCGCCTCTGCCGCACCTTCCTCATCGAGTATATGCAGCCCGAGCTGGTCTGTCTCCATACATTTGGATTACGAAAGCAATTTTTTTATTATTAATAAATCACATATTTCCGACGAATACTATTAGTCGACACTGCAATTCTCACAGTAACTCAAGTTTGCTGGCTTCGTTTAAATGCAATTTATAATATTTATCTAAACCCAGGTCATAATGACACATTACTATGATTAATATTAGATGTGTAATAAATATAGAATTTAACAGGTGGACGGTGAAGCACAACTGGCTCCAGGGTTCATCTCACCGCCGAACTCCGACTACGTGGGCTACCATCAGTACATCGATGACTACCTACCCGATGAGACGCCCTACCTATACGGCCTGCACCCCAACGCAGAGATCGGATATCTCACCACAGTGTCGGAGAGACTGTTCAAGGTCACAAACTTATAACAAGCCTGTAACCTCTTTTGAATTCTATTATCATACTACATACTCCTACTCTAATACAGAAGTTTTAATAAATGTTGACGTGGTTTACTTGTGATTTTAAAAATATGATTTGCATTCCACTTTCATTCAATTCTGCTTCTTATTTTAACTTAAATATCTTTGGATCTATTTAGGTTGTTTTCGAAATGCAACCGAGAGATGCTGGCGCTCAGGCTGGTGGTGGCGCTACTAAGGAAGAAATGGTACGAATCACTATCAAATTACATAGCTAGCAAAAATACTCGAACTAATTATCACTGAAGAACCGAAATATCAATGACAAAGTGGATTTTGTTTTAGGTGCGTATTTTACTGGACGATATAATGGATAGGATTCCAGAACCCTTTAACTTGCAAGAGTTGATGGGGAAGGTGGAGGAGTTGACACCGTTCACCATCGTCGCCCTACAAGAGTGTGAGAGGATGAATCGGCTTATGGGAGAAATTCGACGCTCACTTAAAGAACTGGAACTTGGGCTCAAGGTACAATATACAATTATAATGGCAACTTTTCTTAAAAATGCAGCTATATCATCAAATAAATAAATGATCGGAAACACGTTTTCCATAAGTTACAACAATGAAAATTACGGTGTCATTTTAGGGCGAGCTGACGATCAGCAGCGACATGGAGAACCTGATGGAGTCGCTGTTCATGGACAAAGTGCCGGAATCGTGGACGAAGCTCGCGTACCCCAGCCTGCTCGGCCTCGCCGCCTGGTTCTCCGACCTCTGCCTCCGCCTGACCGAACTCGAGAACTGGTCCGGAGACTTTAATGTTAGACTTTTCACATTTTCAACTTTATTTTTACGACTAACCGACAGGACTTTGTTAATTAAGGCAAGACTATCGTATGAAAATTATGTACATTAATCATTTTGAAAAATCATGAAATTTTATTGTGATTTAATGTGCACGATGGCACTGTCCAGCTGCCGCCGGCGGTGTGGCTGGCGGGCTTCTTCAACCCACAGTCGTTCCTCACGGCCATCATGCAACAGACGGCGCGCAAGAACGAGTGGCCGCTCGACAAGATGTGCCTTAACTGTGACGTCACCAAGAGGAGTAGGCAGGACTTCAAGTAAATATATCAACAGTTTTTATTTTATATCTCTAGCAGGTTGATGGTTCAAGTAAAAAAATGTGTTATTAGCGCACCTCCGCGCGAGGGCGCCAACATCCACGGGCTGTTCATGGAGGGCGCTCGATGGGACACGATGACGGGTGGCATCGTGGAGTCGCGCATGATGGAGCTGTTCCCGCTCATGCCCGTCATCTACGTGCGCGCCGTCACACAGGACAAGCAGGACACGCGCAACGTATACGAATGCCCAGTATACAAAATTCGGTTAGTAGACTAAAACCATCCTTTCTTTTTTCAATATTTTTCTGTCTTTTTTACAATGATTTCACATATTTCCAGATTTAGTGGTAATATCTTAGAAATTATAAAAATGAGCTAAAAAGCTCTTTATAAATCATTTATCAACTATTAATCCTGGAAAGGAAAAGGTGTTGTGGAGGATTTCAGTGGGGTCCATACTTTTTCTATGTAACACATATACAAACAAGATTTATAACTTTTTTTTTATCCAGCATGCGAGGACCAACGTTTGTGTGGACGTTCAACTTAAAGACCAAAGACAAGCCGACGCGCTGGACTCTGGCTGGCGTCGCGCTACTGCTAGGCGTATAGCCTTTATTTTTTAATCTTAATATAATTGCTCTTGCTGTTATTTAATTAAAAGTTGTTTATTAAACTCTATTTTTCATCTACAAATTCATCATCAAATCTATCCGAGTAATAAGTCGATCCTCAAAAACTAGTAGAACTAATCGACCAACTTCGAAGTTTGTCAAAGTTGTTTTACGGATCAAAACTCCTCTCTTCTTCTTTCAACATATTTATTAACTACATCAAGTGTATGGTAGTAACAAATATTTTGTTTTAAAATACAACTTTTAATAGGTAAAAATCATATTAAGGTGAAAAAAAGCATCTCCCATTCAATAAAAAGCAACTTGTAATAACATAGAAGAAACAAATCAATATATTAATGCCATTACATAACTTTAACATAAGATAAATAATTGGACGGATCAGTCTAGTAATTAAATTATAAGTAAGCAAGTTTATCATTTCAATTCTTCAATTTTGATGGTTAGGAAATTCTAGCTTTCTTAAAAAAATATAACATCGATACAAATAATCTGTTAACGTTCTACAAACAACAAAATACATAGGTAATGTACTGTTAATGCTCGAATTTTAATTTAGATATTTTTATAACACGTTAATTCATGCATAGCAAACAACATTTATCTATATATATTAAATCAATAACAATTAGCCACTTCGTATACTTTTATTATTGGGGCTTGGTGCGGCGTTGTCATCCGACGTTGGCTCGGAACCTTTAACCGTAAACGTCACGTAATATCTTTTGTTTTTATCCAGCTTCTCTGCAGGAAGTGCGATTAACTGTTTTTCTGTGCCGTGAGACACTTCCAGAGTAACGTGGGCCTTGCTGGCACCAGTCGGTGGTTTCGAGTTGATCTTTGGTAAGAAGCCTTTTGATTTAGTACTCGGCCCCGCCGTTGACGGTTTGGGCATCGTATGGTGATTCCATTTGTATGGAACTAGAAAAAACATCTTATAAAGAACTAAGCATTAAGAATAATATGTTAGTTCAAGGAAGATACTTACTATATGCAGAACATGGTATTCCAGTATAAGCATGTACAGCATGAAAACATCGATGGGTCTTGCTGGTGCATAAACAAGGGTTGTCTGGAATAGCAGCCATCTTATATAATTCACTTTCGCCGTAATCAAAATCCAACGGTTTTTCTGGCAGTTTATCTAAATGTCTCTTTCCACTTTTCTGCAATTTTCTTAAACTATCGTAAAGAAACTTTTCAAAACTACTAAATGAATAATCGGGATTATTGTACGGACCCAGTCCGACGTTGGCCAGACTAGATTTATTATATTCGTCAATTGCTCTCTTTACCAGTACTGCTTCATTTGTCTTGCTGGTTCTTATTTGCAACCGTTTAAGTTCTAACAGATGCTGAAATATTTTTCGTTCGCAATAATACCTAAAAATGGATTGTATTAAATATCTAACATGTACTTAATCTCTTAAAACCTAGAAAAAGATCTTACCGTCTCATATTAGTTTGTATTCTTTGTGTTACAGTCCTCATATCCACGGCATTTTTATCGCCAGGTTTCCGAACGGGTATCCTGCTGTCTGGTCTCCCGCGAAATTTCCCACTTGCATTTCTCTGTTGGTAGTAAGCATTAAGCCGTGGACTCATGATACATCTTTGTACCGGTCTAGGACTAGGTTCGAATCCAGAATCCATCAACCCGCTAGATTCATAACCTCTTTCCGAATTTTCACTTTTGGACCTTATTGTTATTCGACTTTTCGTCCGACCTTTCTTTCGAAATCGCTTACGACGTCCGTCAGCTTCAGAATGGCTGTAATAAATCTCATTGTCGCTAACACTAGGCACTCTACCGAAAAAATTTTCTCTGAGAAGAGTTATTTTATCCTCAGTACCGAATTTATCTTCTTCTATAGAACCCTCATCCATTATGCTAGATTTTTTTAAAATACCTTCAACAGCATTAGTGGCATCTGACAGTACTTTATAACTTTCAGTTTCGTATATGCTACTTTTCCGACTACTTACTTGGCTATCTCTTGAGGTTTTTCGTGATTGTTTAGGAGAGGTGAGTGGTAACAATTCATTTTCTTGATATTCTTCGGATCCACTTGGCATTATAATTTGCTGAACTGCACGATCGACACTGAGCGTACCACCGCGAGATTGTTTCACCTTACTCTTATCGACGCTTCGTGCCACATCGCTGCTACTCGACGTGGTAGATGCATATAGTGATCTTTTTTCCTCTTGATTATTAACCTCACTTGCCCCATTTCCACTCTTCTCATTCAATTCTACTTGAATTTCAGTGTGTTCAACCTCTTCGCCCATCAAATGATCGGATGAATTATCAGAGCCGTTAATTTTGAATATTTCATCTTTTTTGGCAAACGACACTGATGGTGAGCTACTTTTATCTTGAGATCCTAAATTATCACCGCTAACAATTTCTATGCTTTGTTTATCAAGGGGTAAATTATCACTTTTGCTTGTATCATCTGGCCCAGATAAAATATGAAAGGATCTTTTGCGAGGCGATTCTTCATTAGAATTCTGTCCAGAGAGAGTTTCTTTACTTTTATCCGCAGAAGATGGCCTTGATTTGGAATTCTTATCGACGTCCGATAGTGACTGCTGTTTTTCTTCTTTGTTCAATTCAGTTTTTTGATTTCCACTTATTACTGTTAATACCTCAGGCTTGCTTTCATCTTCAGGAATATCCCTAGTTTCTTGTGAGTTTTCTGTAGAATTATCTAATGTTTTCAAAGCGTTTTCCTCTTTAATTTCTTCCTTGGTTAAACTTACTTCCGTTGGAGGATCATCCTTTGCTTCATCTACTTTTGCACTATCGACTTCTATTTTTTGTTCGTTTTCATTAACAATTTCGTCACTGTTATTTTCTAAATTAGTTTTGGCGTCTTCATTTAAATCCTTATGAGTTACAGATAAATTTGATGTCTCTATAGCAACATTATTTGATGAATCCATTTTTACGATTAGTTCAGAACTACCATTAAGTGTAGATTCGCGCTCCATATGTATTTGTGCTTCTGTAACTACCATGTTTGTTTTTACCGAAATAGCATCGGTTTCAGTTTCACTGAAACTTTTCGGTATGATTGTTCCTAGTTCTTTGTCTGTTTCTGCCGGGGTCTTGGGTACGTCTAAAGAACTGCCAACCTTATTTTCGTTTGATTCAAGGCTTCGTTTGTTATCCATATTTTTATATTTCACTATGTTTACTTTCTGTTTTTCATCATCGTGTTCAATGTGAATAGATGTTTTCTTACCTTTTCTTTTTGTGCTCCTTCTATCGCTCGATTCTGAACTACTATTTTCTGATGAACTGCTTGTTTTTCTTCTACCTCGCTTATGTCTAGTACGTTTCTTTTTTCTCTCTTCGTGACTGTCAGTATCTGATGAACTCTCCGATGTCGAGCGATAACGACGATGATGTTTTGCACTTTTGCTATGCCGTCTCGATGGTTCACTTTTAGATCTACTTTTTTTACTTTCGGGCCTTCGTTTGTATTTTGGTTTTTCTCTCTTATGACAAACTTCGAATTCACTGTCATAACCATCACTGAAACTTTTTTGGGACTTAAGTTGTGTTTTTTTTCGGGTTTGGTATTTTTCTTCAAATCGTTTTCGAGTTTTCCTGTCATCAGAAGAAGAATCATTAGTATAATAATCGTTATTTCTTTCTTTTGTGCGTCGCCTTTCTAATGAAGGGCTTGAAAGCTCGACTACTTCTTTTTTTTCTATTCTAATACGATCACGTACATCAATTTTTGTGCTGGTCACTTTACGTTGTGGTAATCCTGTGATAGAAGCACCGTCGATTATTAGTTCAGTATTTGATAGTTTGGAAGCAGGTAAACCGCCGTGCATTTGCAAATACTTTGCAGTCGACCTGTGGCCTCGACTAGTTGCACAGTCTAACGGTGTTAAAGGTTCGTTCTTGGAAGATCTTGCAACAAGGTTGACTTCAGCGCCGCGATCAAGTAACATACGACAAAGATCGGCGTTATCGCTGGCGGCTGCGATATGAAGTGGAGTGCGTCCTTCGTGATTAGTTGCATTGACTTGGGAAGGCCTTCCGTCCAAAAGCCACTTCACCAATTCTCTACGTCCTGATGCAACAGCTTCATGTAGTGGTAAATCACCCTTAGAGTTACGCAGCCATAAATTGGCGCCCCTTGCCCCTGGAAGTCACACACATAATTCAAGATTGGTTAATAAAAGTATCATAAAACTATACGTGAATTCAATTATTAATTGAGATATGTTAATTTTGGACTAGTTCTATTTAAATTACTTTCTTATAAAAATATTTACCTAGTATACGAACGGTTTCTATTTGTCCTTTAGCGGCGGCAGTGTGCGCTGGGCTACGGCCTCTTCTGTCTTGACGATGGGCGTCTGCGCCATGTTCCAGTAGCTCGGAGGTCGCGTCTGCGTGGCCCAGCGCAGCGGCGTAGTGCAGCGGCGTGCAGCCGTGGGAATCCGCCATGTCAACGCGAGCACCACACAGTCCTACTAACGTCTCCAGAGCTTCTGTATGTCCACGCGCTGCTGCACAGTGCAATGCCGTTAAGCCGTCCCTAATACATAAAAGATATACAAAACATGAATTATTTATAATCTCAGTAATCAAAACTATCTACTTAACAGTGGGTAGTAAAGTATTTCAACATTTTGTACACCGCATATTTGATGGCAACTGTAATGAATACCTATCAGCATCGTCGACCCTGGCGCCAGCCTGGTGCAGTGCGAGCACCGCTGCGGCGGAACCGGCACTGGCGGCCCAGAGTAGCGGTGTACGCCCGTCAGCGTCTCGGACCGCCACGCTCGCGCCGCCCTCGCGCACTAGCGCACGTAGCACCTCCAGCGCAGCGCCACGGCTCTATTCGGTAAACCATAACGAGTCTTTATTAAAAATTGCATACAGATAGCACGATATGAGCAAGTCAAATACCATGTTTAGCTAAAGCATTTAGATGCCTTTAGCCAAAGATAGTCCCACGCTGGTATTGAATAGCAAAATGATAATATTTTATTAACGTCAACACACTGCCTTATTTTCTTTAACCTTATGTATAAAGTGCCATTTAATTCAACATGTTTTTATATTGAATCAAATTTATTATACAAATTCGTGATTACTGAACGTTATCTATGCAAAGGTTCTTTTACCTCGCCGTATTTACTTGCGATTTCCCGATCCGTACGTTTTTATCGATGTCACGAACGGGAAAACGGCCACTCAACGCGTTACAATTCAGTTTGTTAGGAAATACTTTTATGTGCGTCAAGAAATTTTACGTAAATCGTATTTTAGCTTACACAGTTGAAGGCATTGGAAGTTTTATCTTTAAAAGCATAGGTCCAGCTATAGAATGACGTAGATGATCTTTTTATTTCAATAAATTCTCTCTACATGAAAATATACAATGCTGGTTTCTACTAAAACTTCTTTTAATTTTGTAACTTGAAATTTATGGACCTGGTGATCGGTGGCTGCGGGTGCACCACACATTTGCGCGGCGTAGTGCAATGGGTAGCCGCCGTGCTGGTCGGGCGTGGCCGCATCTGCGCCCGCCGCAAGCACCGCACGCAGGGCCCCCACCTCGCCGCACACTGCCAAACATAGGCAATAACAGGATAAACAAATTAAGTAAAAAAAAAACTTAATTTTGTGACTACTTTATCGCAAAGAGGAAAACAAAGACTGAAAAACGTAGTTTATTTTGCATATAAAAAATTTAAAGTAAACTTTTTATAAATTAGGATTTCATTACATTCCACTGAGATCGGAATCAATAAAACATTGTCATAAGATATAAATAAAATCTACTAATGTACCGATATTATTATCTTGATGTTTCTTCTAAAATATCTTCGTATAGAACTTGTAGTCGTCACATCAAAAAATAGAAAAATATTATGTGCACAAAGAGCAAGGCTGCTAATTTTTTGTGAATAACATGTAAATATAAACACATTATAACATTTTATACAGTCATATTGCGTGTCAATTAGCAATTTATTAATCAAACATGACTCAAGCGACAAGTAAAGGCCGAAAAAAAGGCGAATTAAAGCCTTCACAAATGTCCAACAAACACTGATTGCTCGAATGTGATACGTCTTGACCTTTTCAAATTTATGCCATTATAATGTTTAGTCCTAGACTGACGGAGGCAGGTCAAGGGCCTGACCTTGTGCGCCGCTCAATACCACCAGAAACCGGACAACCCCCTTCTTAGTGGGGGAGAGGGGACTCCCCTGACCCCCCAATAGTGTCCAAACCCGCAGTCCGATAGCGCAACCGCAATTATTATACAATTTGCTTCAAATCAATATACACAAAAAAAACTCGTCTTTGCTAGTTTTGTTATGTTAAGTTGTTTGACCTGTTTTGCGGGCCATTATATATTTTATTTTAGATATATGTAATATAAGCCTACAGATCATATTATGTAGGATTTCTACTGTATTCTAACAGCTTATAAATTGTTTTTTAAGTCCGGCGTTATGACGATAAAATTCAAAATATCTATACATCTTTAACAATTTTTGAGCAAATAAGTTATCATAACGTGTTATAGGTAATTTTAATGTAACAAATACAATAAAATTATGAAGATAGTCTTCTAAATATATATACTATAAAGCAAGCACCATTTCACTATCTTCAGTTATTAAAATGAACTTAAATGGTAATTCAACGGCACTGTAAATATTAAAGGAAAATCAATGATAAAGGGAGGTGAGGACATTACCAACAAGTTGTATCGGACATAAACCGCGTCATCATTTAAAATACTCAGCTGGAGATTCAATATTTTTTTGTTTCAAATATTCATGCGTCTGTTAAAACCTGTACCATTCATATAAATGGACAGCTATAAATGAAAGTTGGAATCTATTTATAAACTAGCTATTCGTACTTAGTTTTGTTAAAGGCAGAATTTCGATATCTACATATTTTATATCATATATGGAAACTCACCGATCCGTTAATTCGATACTCTGGGAGGTCTTAAAAATCGAGTCCTACGGCTAGCTCGCATTATATAACTTTTATAATAAGGTATCCCTTTGTCTTTGTAATCAAAAGACAATAATATCAACTCAATTGAGCAAGCCAGCTATCATAAAAGTTCGATTAACAGACATATCACATAGAACAAGACAGCTTTGATAAGTAATGGATGGCGTGCAAAGAAGTCGATTAAAGTGTAGGTGGTAAGGTGTCACAGAGTGTCACCGCAATGACACCGGCGCTGTAACAACTCACTGCAATTGAAAGCCACTCCATCACTCAATTCCCTTTTGACGTACAAACGATGTGATAACTACGTTCAACTGTGCTTTTGAGTGATATGGAACGATACAGATGTTTTTAAAATCCGAGGAGTTATTACTTCATTATACTTATCAAGTTTAAGGCGCCCTTCCCCAAAATATCAAGCTATGGCTATCAGAGTCTTGGCCAAAGTTCGTTTTTATTGTACTACAATGACGCGAAGAAATTACTAACAATCGGCCGACAACGACCTTGCGTGACTCGCACCAGATCTAATCAATGACATCGATTTACGAAACACTTACAACAAACTTTGCAAGTTTTAACTTTTTACAAATAACTTCTCATATTTAATGCGTAAAGCTTTTAAAGAAATTATTGTTGGTCCACATATGTACTTATTTGAAATTATATCTAGATTACAATTTAGAACTTTCTAGTTTACCGTTTTGATTTATTGCTGGTAGAACAGCGTATTCCTCGAAATGCTTCCATAGTTTTAAAATGTCACTAACCAGTAGCCCAATGCACGACGGTATGCTGTTCGTTGTCTCTGGCGTTGACGTCAGCGCCCGCAGCCAAAAGGGTCTGCACGAGTGGCACGTTGCCATGCACGACAGCGAGATGTAACGGCGTGAGGCCGTCAGCGTCGCGCGCATCCGCCAGCGCCGGCGCAGCCATCAGCACGCGGTCCGCGCAAGCCGCACGTGCAGCGGCGCGCGCAGCCCCACTCGCCGCGCAGTAGTGCAACGCACAGCGCTGCGCTCGGTCACGGACTCGCGCCGATGATGGCTGGACATAAAATAACATTGTTCAGGTGGTAAAATTAATTTATGACACAAAGTTAAGCATAGCCAAATGTTAACCGTGTTAGTATACGACTATTGCGATATCGTCAGCAAATACGTGTTATTGATTGAACATTTGTACCCTCCAACACAACAGTACTCGCCACCTTTTACGTGCATTTCCTAAAATAGTTTGAATTATGAAGTGGCGATAAACAAAATTATAAGACGAAAAATAAATTTCATATAATACAATATAAATAAATTGCATTTTTGGTGCCCACGAAATGATATTTACAACCGTTCAATTATTCTCTACTATTGAGAAATGTGTCGCTTTTGGAATGTCTAACTACCCCAAAATAACAGGGTTATTGATTTGTTGAATAATTAATAACTTTAGATAGTAGTCCATCAACATTCCATTACTTTTAATGTTCATATTGATTTGTAACAAAATACGAGTAGTCGTAGTTATAACGTTGAGGGATCGTCGAGAGTGCACTTTGACGGGCGGTTTACAAGGCGATATAGATGCGCGCCTGCTCGCCTACTTGCCCGTCTGCCAGCTCGTCCGCGCGGCGCATAACATCGCGTGACGCAGTGATGTACTCAAAACATTGTTTTGCATTTCACATAACCACACCGCCACAACTCGGCTTTAATTTTAAAAACAAATACCTACGATTTGTTTGTAAAACACGTAACGAACAATTTATTTTATTGCCCTGACGTGTCTGACAAACGTGGTGAGTAACATTTAATTATATTTATTATATATTATAGTTTGCTAACTTTTTAAACTATGGGTTACAAAACAAACAGCTAGTTAAAAAGTTCTATCGTTGAGTCCGAATAAATATTCCTTTCATTAATTTAACAACAGGCAACTCACGTCCTTGTTGAGGATGTCAACAACAGTCCTATAGTCGGCTTGCTGACAGGCGTACATAAGCGGCGTGCAGCCGTGCGACAACGAATGGTTCACATCTCCATTCTTCCTCGAGCTGGTCTTCTCACCTTTGATCTTCGTGCTTTTGTTTACGAGATCGCCACGGGGCGGTTTCGGTTTCTTCAGTATGCTGGGTATGGGCTCGCCGCGGCCGCTGGCGCCGCGCTTTTCCATAACAACAGGGCTAAGGTGTGCGTGCCATGTGTCGGCCGAGGGACGTGGAGAGAGCGGCGCGAGGGCGAGCAGGCGCGGAGGGCGCGTGCCTCAGACTGGCCCGAGACTCGTAAGCGCCTCGACTGCCCGCTGCCCGCCACCGGACGAAGGTGGCACTGGGCGGAGGGGCCACGCAACGCCTACCCTCACGAATCACTTCGCACGTTAAATCAGGTCACCATCTTATAAATTCTTACATTCGAACATTCAAAAAGGCCTTGCTATTCACTAGGGCTATCTATTTAGTAATCCGTGGCATTGAACCAGTTTACTTGCGTATATATGCATAATAGTTTTTTTGCTATTGTGCAGTGTCATATAAATCATATTTGACTGATTGATTATCTTAGCATGATTAATAAGCGTCCACTATTGACATATATATACATATATATATGTATATACGGGATTTATAAATTCCATAGATTCCTCCGTAATAGGTACCTATTACAACAATACCTAATAATTTGCGTGTTGATATGTGAAACATATTTAAAGAATAGATTTCAGTCACGCTGACCAACGTAACTCGCAAAGTTTAGTGATTACCGAAGTACAAAGAGACTTTGAAGGTTAAGGGGATCAAGTTTGATTAGAAGGTGCCTTAGACGATTAGAGTTATTAGGCGGGCGGCGTATAGGGCGGCGTAGCGGGCGGCGTAGCAGACGGCGTAGCGGGTTAGTGGCATAGTTCGCGTTATCGCGTTTCGGCGGCAAAACGTGACGTAAATTTGGCACGCCACCACCTTACAAAATGATCACCGCGAACCACTTGACGATTTTTCATACTGCGGCCGATGCAGAACAGTAACAGTATCCATCCAATCAAGGATAACATTGATTTCAATATAATTATTTCACACTAAAACTAGTGCATTGTTAAACCAGTATATAACACATTTCATTTTTAATCACATTGAGGCATGCACTTTTTTATTTCACTGCAAGCTTATATAAAAACCAATGTTTATTGCGTTAATTGTAGCGTTATTTCTGCCGCTTTAGTTGATGTTTTTGGAACTACAAATTCATATTATATTTATACAGAATATAAATTTCTTTAACCAAGAATTAAAAAAATAATAGACATACATACGTACTTAATACACTTAAATGTATTCTGTTTTTCGAGAGTCATAAAAATATAATGTGTATTTTATGTAAATTAAGTAAAAAAATATTATAAACCCTTATAAACACGTTTATTTATAATCGTGTTACATAAGTACCTATTCTATATATCATAAGTCCATGTATGTATTACATATTTTAAAAATACCTATATCATTATTGTCAAAAAAAAAGGCCCGTGGAAAACCCTGGCCTGCAACTGCAGTCTGTGCCATTCCACATGCAAGAAAAGATATTTAAATTTGAATTTCCTATTTAATAAGTTTTCTTGTATAGATACTTTAAATTATTTTTATTTGAATAATTAAATCCACCTTGAAGTGTATTTTTCAGTCAAATTTATTTTGTACAATTATTACTTAATTAAGATAAACTTATCTTAAACTTAAGATGATACAGCTCAGCCGCTACAGCCTATTGTAACTGATAAATCATATAAATACATAAATAGGTACTATGATAACCTCCTTCTTTTTTAAATCGGCTAAAATGACAATGAACTTCGAACATTTTATCATATACACTAACAACAGTTGATATAATCTTGTACCTTTTCTTTACGAATTTTTATCACAGTAAATAGTTAGGCAAATAAAATAAAACTCTATTTTTGTCTTTCACCTTACGCATTGACCTACTTGTAAAAGAAATAATCATGTAATATTACTAATCAACGTTACCCCTTAGATCTACAGCGAAGTTGACCTAGTTCCCTCGATTTCAGCAGCTTACAGCCATTGAAACCATAATATTTCTTTATTGCGCATACTAATATGCTTGTAATAAGAATAAATCTTATTTTGGGAATAACATTTTTATATTATAACGTTACACGTATAACTTTAGTCATAAATATATAATTAATGTTTATAACCTATATGAAGGCAACCTTCCACAGCTTAGTACAGCGGAGGTCTAAAGAAGTATCAATGTTGTAATCCATAGATTCAAATCTGGCTCGAAGGACCATTGTCAAAATGTTAACTCGAATGTATACTGCATTTTGACAATATATTTCCTTTTAGTTGAATTTAAAACTAAATACAACCTGATTATTTCAAAAATATAAGTAAACCCGTGTTTACATGTCATGTACAAAATTACTTAAAAAAAAATATGTTGAGTCCATTACCAAACGTCTAATTTCCATTGTTATAATTGTTTTAAAAATATTCGTTATGTCACGATTGTCGTATTCCGAAAGACCGCGGGTTATCGTTAAGGTTACAATAATATTTGATCGGAATTCCCATTTAACATAAACAAATTAACAAATACCTATACTATTTATTTTGCGATATTAAATTATAAATTATAAAATTTATAACAGAAATAATTTTACGTACCATCAGTTGTGGAAGGGAAATAAATTACGTCAACAAATACGTAAATACTTAGGTCACGGTATTTCCCCCATCAGTCTATGCGAGCAACTTTTGTCGTATTTATATAATGAAATAAGGAAAAAATATTCCCCTGACTTTTTTCAAGCTTTTAATATTAAAAAAGAGATCAGGAAATGAACTCGTAGGGTTCATCGTAGGAGTCAGTGACACTAAATGTTTTAAAGCCACTTAACATAAGATGAACCGCTAGCTCACTTACCTTCTTTCGTTATAACTATAGAAATCAACCTACATAACAAAATTAAACTTATATAAAAACCATAGCAAGCTATCGAACAATCTATATTACAAAAAAAACGGGAAAATGAACGTCTTTCAGTAAAATGCCAAGCGGAGAAAAGTGTTACAAACCCCGAAGGTTGTCGGGGATTCATTAACTAATCAGCACAGGGTACTCTGATGGTCAGTCGATGGTCAAAGTGGGTCAAAGATTAATCGCGATAATGCCCAGCTCGCCCCCTGTTTGCCCTTCCATGGAAATTAAACGATCGGGCTCGCTTACCAGGTCAACGTTGTTAAAATCTTATATATGGACAGATTTTCAAGTTATATGTATAGGTTTTACTACAATGTTTAAAATTAATATTTCGAACTACTTCCTAATATCTATTGAATTTTTTAGCGACTCAATTGAAAGCTTAATATTTTCAAACTTAACACTAAAGTATTCGCCGAAAATTAGAAATGGTTTAAATATAAAAACGGAAACTTACCTCTTTTGTAGTCTTATGACTCCTTTGAAACTTTCTTTAATTTTATTTGACACATCTTGACTTGACACACATTGTAACTTGCAAAAGTTATTAAAAAGTTAAGTACGTAAAGCCATTATAGAAAATCGTAATATAAAAATACTAGAAAAAATTAAATTGAGCAAACGTGTTTACAAATACAAGGCACAAATAACATCTTGATAAATCCTATTGTGGTGTCGCCTGTTCATATGGCGCGTTGCCATAGTGACGAGAACATGACGCTATTTGATGCCATAGATTAAAACAGATTGCGAACATAAAATATTCGTAAATACCCTTTAATTATAACACAAATTACGAAAATAACTACTTGTAGTTATGATGCAATATGTGGTAGATGTAAAGCTGTATATATGTAGGTACTGGCCCATGTACTTTGTGCCATGTGTTTGCGTGATTGATCTGTTCAAATCGGTTTACCTTACTTGAAGAGGTTCGCGCTTTCGCTATATTCGCTTTCGTTTGATACTATAACACTATAGCACTACGAAAATCCATCCATCTCCAGTTCAATAATTTTTTGGTAAAGACAAGAAGGTAAAGAAAAAACTTGTAAATTTCAAATTGTTACCTTTGTTTAATAAACATATATGTACGTATAATGAAATTGAATAGTTACAATTAAGTATTATTTAGGAAAACATTCAATAGAGATTTAATTATTAAATTTAACAACATTTTAACTATCTCCTAACATCAGGCGTACATTGTAAGTTAATGCTTCTCTTGCAGCCAGGAGGACATAATGCAAACACTTCTTCTTCTACGTTCGAGGAAAATCTATTGTCTACGTAAACTTTTACACAATCTACTTTTATTGTTGTCGCGTTTATCCATACAACTTTCGCTGGATACGATAGACCACATGGTGTCATTGCTCCTAATGTGGTACAGTTTCCATTGTACATAACTGTATCGTCACTTTTACACGGGTTCATTTCACATATTGGTAAAACTGAAGACTTTGTTAACACTAAGTACTGTCCCTGAGGACAAGGGCCACGCTGGTAAGCGAGCCAGCATCTGTCCGTTGCGGGATGGTATAAGTATCCTGTAAAACAACGTTCAAGTTAAAGTTTTATTAAGATTAGGTAACATGGGCACAGACACTAATGCCGTCATACAAGAAAGCGTATACGAAAATTTGTTAATTTATTTGGGTTTTTAATGTATTCAATCTTGCTATAATGTCATTCTCATACTTTTATCTTATTTTATTCACTATACGATAAATACTAATAATGTTTACCTGGTCGACAGTCGCAAATCCAGTCAGTTTTATGATCTCCTGGATAATACAGTTCGTTTTCTGGACATACCGATGGAAGGTATACTGGTTGTCGATCCTGTGAAAGAAATACAAACAAATCTTACTTCTTACTATCTTACAAATGCGAATGTTTGGATAGATGGATGGATGGATGTTTGAACGTATCTCCAGAACAGCAGCATGGATCTCGCTGAAATTTGTCATAAATATACAACATAGTCTGGATAAACATAGGCTAGTAATTAAGTTTTATTTAATACCGTGCGAACGAAGTCCCGGGTGACAGCTTGTATTTTAATTAATAAAATTATCGACTGCGTTCAGGAGTATGATGAGTAAACCGTATTACATTTTAGGTCATATTGGTATTCACTCAAATCCATATGAATGGATTAAAACAAATAACCTACATTAATTTACTTTCAAAAGCACTCCACAATCTGTGTCAACTGAAGTACAATGAAAACATACTTAGCCTTGTGCAATTAAACAAACAGATGTGTTAATACAGTTATATCTGTGTTATACATATAGGAGAAGGCTACTTAAATCGTGATGCTGTAGGGTAGGCAGAGATTATGGATTTTTACACACTGTTCATACTTTTTAACGCCGAGTGTTCACGGCCTATAGTAACCATGATGACGACACCTTCTTTAATAAATTGATTTGTACTTATTTATTCAGACCTTATATAAAGTGAGAAAAAAATTAAAAACATGTTTTGTGCAATGTTCAATGTACCTTATAAAATGTATAAAGTCAAGTTTACAAACTGAAATATTTGGTATAAGATTTGCATCAGTTTCCGTTTTTAAGATAATATAGTTAATATAGAACTTGCAAAGATCTAAGATGCAAGACAAAACACATTGAGTCGCAAGAGGAAGCCTCTTTGGTCCATTAATGTCAATACCCTATGTTGCCCTTGTAACTGGAACTTAGAATGTTCCGTCATTTGTGTTTAGCGGCAGAAATAATTATGTTCTTCGTGATTATAATAGTAAAGTAGGACAATAAGTAAAAATAACATCGGTAGTGGATGTTGATAAGATCGTCGTTTTATATTCCGCAATATTAATGACTAAGTACAAAAACAATACCTTCTACAATAATTAAAGAACAATAAACAATATAACAGTAAAATATACTGAAGCTAAATTATCCCAAAACTATTTTACAAGAACTAAAAACATATCTTGTACAAAAATCAAATGACTTAATTGCTCGGTCAAGCATTGCTGCCCGCTTAAATAAGGAAGTTAATACTAAAATTACAAATAGTTTAATATATAAAAAACATCAATTAATCAACTTCACGTTTTACCATAGCACGTGCAACAAACACATTAAATACGTCAATAATTTTTTACATAATAACCAACCTGTTTATTTGAAACTTTTGGGTTTTCCTCAATCTCAGGAAATCCTATAGCACCTTTAGGCATTTCTTGTGCTAATCCTAAGTTCACACACATCATTAAACATAATATCGCAATAACATACGAATACATTTTTGGTAAATTTAATAAAAGTACAAAGTAACTTAAAAATCACAACAAAGTTCTTGTTCCTCGTGTTGTATAATTAATTTTATAAATAAAACTGACTAGATTTACTGGTGCGAAAATATACGGCTGTTTAATTGAAGATCGTGTGAACGACTGCGGTCTGCTGATTTGCGGTTAACATTTATAAAATATCTTTATAAATAACTTATCGGACTGAATTTGTACTGGCGCGTATGTGCCTATTTTCTACTACATAAAGTTTAAAGTTCAATTATATTACCCGACTGACAAAGAGAGTAAATTTTTTAACGCGTATACGTAAACTTTGTTTTGTCTTTACGTATCTGGGTTTCTATGTATGTAAATTCCATTGTGACGGCCTAGAGCTTAAAAGACTGAACCGATTTTGACGAGTAAGGTGTCGTTCGATTCATCTTCTTCCCCTTGGAGTGATAGGGTATATTTTTTATATCATAAGGTTGCAAATAAGCAATCGGCCACCTGAATTCGCCGAAAAACTGCTGCACATAGACATCCGAAATTGCATCCACTTCACGCAGTTCTTCTGTGCGGTCGTGGTCAGATTGAGCCGGTCCATTTATGCAATAGATGTTATAGCTGGCAGCCATTACTGTTCACTTGCGTTCACGGTGATTTAAGTTGCTATTTTCGTTTGAATGATTAAAGTAAGTTAAGTAGTAAATTGCTGGTTAAGTTGAATAGAGATAATCCATTTTTTCGGCTAGTCCACTACGAAAAAGAAACAGCCCGCACCTCTTCCATAGCCCTCCAGCTAACTGAGACGGCGTGCAACGTAGACGGCTAGTTTAGTACAGTTTATATGTTCATAACGTGTGTATTAGCAAAACAAGCCTCTGAATAGCAGCCTTTAACAAACTCGTAACTTTTTACAACTTATTACCAAACTGAATGATTTCTTTACTCAACATTGTACTTGCTAAAGTGTAAATTGGGTTTAACAATCAATGTTATTGAAAATAAAATAAAATTAAAACTAACATTAATGAAATAAATCGATAGCGGGGAAAATCCTACACCTTGTTGTGGTACCATGAGTCATCGATTGAGGAACCATTTCCCGGACTCTACTTATATGAAAGTAGTATATACATATGTATTTCTCAAGCTGTTGTCAATGTAAACCGGAACATGAATAAACTTAACTAAGTATAAAACAACTACGAGCCACATTAGATGTTAGGTGGTCTTTTACTAGTGACGATAAATCTTGCCTTATTCTAGCCAGAAATGGAGAAGACACGGGGCTGCAGGTAAATTAGTAGAGAGCTGCAAGTTCATTGATTAGAGGAGTTAATTCAAATTAGTGGAGATGGATCAAGCTCGCCGCGAGCGTTCAGAGATGTTGCTACTCGATGCTATACAACGTGCATCAAATGTTGATAACAAAGCTAAAATAAGAAACGCAGTCGTCCCGAAGACTTAAAATATAAAAGAAAATAAAACGACATGACAGCTACAGTATAAAGAGGATGTTGTGACATTTTTGGACGTTGAAAAGGGGGCGCTAGTGAGCAGTCACAATTTTGTTTCTCTTGTGCCAACGGTTCAGTTACCCTTGTCGCACTTGTTGGTCCCCATTTTGCGGTGAGAACACATAAGCCAAGTCAACACATTAACAATGCTTATTTCGCTATAATATTCATATTACTATTTAACTCAAATTATTTTGTAGTTCACAAATAAACAATAAGTTAACAACAATTTAATTTGTTTCTGTGGCTGTGCACCTCTTACTTTTGTCACAAAAAACTCTACACGGCTTACGTCAACTTAGAAATTATGACTTTTGCGAGTGAAAACTCAAATCCCAGATGAGTGATGAGTGTAATGAGAAGTCCGAAAAAACAATGTAAAAACACACCTTAAATATCAATAAGAATGAGAAAATACAACAGTGTAAGCTTATAATACCGTCAGCGATATGTTTACTAAAAAATCACATCAAGATGTCAAAAAATCCACCGTTAAAATACAGGATTCCAAGAAGGATTCGACAACGCGATTAAAGCACCTTAAAATCGTTTTAGGTAAATAAATAACTAGAATATTATTATATTTTACCTTTGTCTCCCGATTTGTGTAAATTTATTACCTTTTCATAGTTTTTCAAAGACACTGACGTATCATTCTAAACATGCTAATTAGATGTGTATAACGTATAACTGTAGTTGATACTCGTCCATGTACTTGTGTTTACTATTGAAAAAGATACGACAATTTAATTACTGACACTTAAAGTATTTTAACTAATGTTCGTCCTTATATTACATATTTTACAAGTCTTGTTAAAATATAATTTGAAAAATTACTGTGTGTATCAGTAAATTGTTTTTTTTTTCAGAACATTTTGATGCTGATGAAGCAAAAACGTACTTTGAGGCCAATTTTAGTCATGTGTATTTTATATTGTATGATAACTTTATTTTAGCAGAAAATAATCTTCGACAAAGAGGTAAGGAAGAAATTATTGTTTTATTAATACTAAACTATATAGAAATGTAACAATTTTGTCCACTTCAATTGACATAAATGAGACAATAAGAATACCAAAAAAATAAATTACAATAAGTCTTAAACCCAATGTATAAAACAGAATAGACATTAATGTGGCTGTTAAATATATTATAATAATACATAGTTCAATAAATAACAAATTCCTTTTTGTTTTGCCAACACAGAACTTCCGTTTCATCTCGGTGAGTTGTTCTGTTACAGAGAAATATTCAAGCATCACACTTTAACAAACAAATTAATTACATCTTGGTGTTTAGTGCTTTCAAATTGGGTATATTTGTGCTTCATTTATTTTATAATCAAACATTTATTTGTTGCATCTTTTTTAATTTATTTTGAGTTTGACATAACAAAACCATGATTTATTATCTATGTTCAGCTTACCACAGAATAAAAAAATCATTATTAACATACTTGATCAGCATTGCAATAGCTCGCAGTTTGAAATTGGTCTTAATGCTTCAATTACCAGCTTATTAAAAGATGTGCAGTGATATGTTAAATTTTATTTATTTTATTTCATTTTAAATTTAAACCTTTATCCTATAATTTAAATGTGTAATTTCATGTTATAGTCCACAAAGCTGGCAGGGAAGAATTAGAAGGAGCACTCTCACTATTAGAAAAAGTATTATGCCTTTTGCCAGAGCTGCTTGGGAAGAGATGGCAGTTACATTCTCTTACAAGAATATTTTCTAAGCTCCTACATAGTGGTAATTCACAAAAACTTAGAGCAGAAGCTATAAGGTATGAATATGTTTAAATCTTACTTATATTTTTAATGTTTAGATGGATGGATGTGTGTATGAAAGTATCTCCGGAATGGCACAATGGATGTTGGTGAAATTTGGCACAGATGTACAACATAGTCTGGAAGAACGCATAGGCTACTCATTAGGGTTTTTTTTTAATTTCGTGGAGTGGATGGAGTTGCGGGCGACAGCTAGTTTATAAAGTTAAGATATGATTAAGAGTACCTCTATTTACAGTAGAGATAGGGCCGGCGTATACAGAAATTTATTTGTTTAATGAGCTGCAAAATATGGAAGTGTTTCACAGAATTGTTAAGGTTCAATTCCGCAATTATTTTATGTTAAAATAAATTGTAGACCAAGTCAGTGACGGCAATGAAAGTGTTAATGAATTTTCATAATATTACAGATTTTTTCTCTTGTGGTACCAAGCACTTGGAGATAATGCGCCTCATGAAGTGCATAGGATGTTTGCAATGCTGGTACCAGGCATGCCTGAGTCACCCACACATTCAATCGGATCCCCGTTTAAGCCGAAACCATTTGATTTGGTTACTAATATATCAAATGACTCCGGTGATTTTAAAATGGAAGATATTATGCACCATCCAAACTTTAGTTCTGCTAGTGATAATGCAAAGAAAGTTGTTGTGGAACAAACATCAACTGGTATAATGGGAAAGTTGGCTAATGTGTCAGCATCAATATTTCATGATACGAATGCACTAAATCCAGTCCAAAGTGTAGAAATTCAACCTTTATTGCCAGCCAGTGCTAACGAGAGACCTGTTGATAATGAAACAAGATATTTTTTTGAAATTCTACTTGACGGTATGGCAACTTCTGTTACCAAGATACATTGGCGAGACAGATCACACAACAAAGCAATGAGATGTTTTGCATTTTTATTGGAGAAATTTAAAATTTATTACCTGCCAATCATTTGCCCGCAATTTAATTATAAAAATTCACTATACAAGCCTAATCTAGGTGAGTAAAATGCATTACATATATCTTTCACATAATTTTTCTGAAACGTAATTTTTACTTTTTATTTTTAAATTAAATATTTTTTAGAATTACCAGTTCAGCATAATATATTAGAAGATGACTATGTTATATGTAGAGTGACATTAATCAAATGGGTGGCGAGCTATGCAAACTTCGTAAAGCGACAAGGCAGCGATATTGGTCAGCCATCGTCTATGACAAGCACAGGATCCCATCTGCCACATTCCGGCACACCTACTCCAGCAACTTCATTACACCATGAGGAAGAGACTTCGTTCACTGTTGGACAACCATCAGATTCAAGTAGGGCATCATCACATGACTCTGCGTCTAACACACCTCATCCTAGTTTAGAATCAGGTTTGTATTTTATATGTATGATGACTCATTTTTATTTCACTTATATAATTTAGCTCATTTTATCTTGACATTTGAATTGTTTTGGGATTTAATCTTATCAATGTAAATCACTTGACTGATTTACCAATGTTTTTAGTTTCAACAGTTACTTGCAACATGAATTTACCTTGTTGAAACAAATTTTTTATATCCATAATTTTAGATGCGTCTTCCTCATTTATATAAAAAAATGTCTCTGAAACAATTAAAATTGTATGTCTCAGTGCTTTATCATTAGTAACACAGAGTAATAAGGGTAGGTAGGAATATTAGATATGACATGAAATTTTGTACTTATATTATTTTCTAGGATCAGGTATATTTGAGGAGCTAAGCTCGGAGCAGGTGGTGAGAGACGTGCTGTGCGGCTCGTCTCGTGAACACGTCGACTTCACCATTGAAGTGCTCCGGCAAGCATTCCTGTTGCCTTTCTCACATGCTGCTGCTGTGAGACGCGTTATCGGGCTTTACAAAGACTGGATACAGATGAATGTTAGTCAAGTTTTATATTATGTTTCTAATCTAGTGTTACTTTTATAAAAAAAAATATTTTTGAATGCAAAACCATAAATGATTTTTAAAACTTGAATTCGGAGTAGGGTAGAGTGTAACAATTAATTGTTGTTTGTTTAGTAACATTTAACAAATAGTTTTATAAAAATACTAGTTGTTGCCTGCGACTCCGTCCGCGCGGAATTAAGAATAACTACTAGCATATGTTCTTCCAGACTATGTTCTACATCTATACCAAGTTTCATTTAGATCCATGCAGCTGATCTGGAGATACCTTCTAAGAAACATCCATCGATCCATCCATACATCCAGACATACTCAATTATAATATTAGTAAGATTACAATGGTTATAATGTTTGCAGGTGTCGGAGATCCCTCCATTCCTGGTAGAGAACACATACGAGCAGCAGCTGGCAGCGGGGGAGCCAGCAGCGCCGCCGCGCAGACTGCGCAATGACTCCTACCTTGGCGCTGTCAACCGCGACATCATGGTGCGAGCTGGAATGCAGGTATAATATAGCGATAAAATAGCGATGTTACTGTTACCCATAGACATCTTTAAGTTTTAACAAAAAAGGATGTTTCTTTTCTATTAATTCTATTATCCTTATTAAACAAAATTGGGAGGAGAAGAGGAAAACTGGACACTTGTACATGTTTTATATCATAAGGTGGCAAATGAGCAATTGACAAAGAAGCGACCGCTGCCCATTGACATCTGGAATAGCAAATGCGTTACATACCTTAAAACTATGGAGTAGGGGACGCGAAAATGAGTATATTACCCTTCCTATATGTGTCCCTCTTACGCCAAATCCACTTCCCATTCCACATACACATATCAGATGAAACATGGAAATATTTCCATTTCATGGCAGTCTGCGTGGTTCGGTAAATTTAGCACTGATAATGTTTAAATTACTTGTTAAATCCATTGTTTCTTTCCCATACAGAATGTCCTGCAAGTGTTTATGACGCAAGCGGCTAACGTGTTCGTTGCGTCGTCTCCGGTGGCAGCACCCGGCGCGCTCGGCCACCAGCAGCTGCTGCAGGAGCAGACGGACACATGTAAGCGTGTGCTCAACATATACCGTTATATGGTCATGCATGTCGCTATGGACGCTAGTACGTGGTAAGTTAAACAACATAGAATAACAATTTTCACAGTAAAATTTTGAATATCTTAACGTTACAATTTTTTTTTTGCAGGGAACAACTTTTGTTAGTATTACTTCAAATTACATCTTTGGTATTAACCAAAGTAGTGCCTAAGAGAAAACAAGAAACACTTGGTCAGTGGTACTTTTATTCTAGCTTACTTTTGATTTAAACCAGGAATAAAGAGTTTGTTGTCATTGTTTTTCACAGGAGGATTTCTAGCGCCCGCACTATTCCAAACACTTATCGTCACATGGATCAAAGCTAATTTAAATGTCGCGGTAAAACCTGAACTGTGGCAAAGTTTCATGGAATTGTTGACAAGACTGACGCACTGGGAAGACCTAATTAAGGAATGGGCGGTAAGGACAACAACAAATTTCAAATTTGTAGCACTTAAAGAACAAAACCATCGATTCGTGATTAAATATTGTTTTTTCTTTCAGAAAACAATGGAAACGTTGACTCGAGTATTAGCGAGGCATGTTTACTCATTGGAGTTGTCGGAGAGCGCAGGCGTGGCGTGCGGTGGGGAGACGAGAGGGCGCGGTGGGCGTCGCCCCACGCCTGCGCCCGCGCCGCTGCCCCGCCCCACACCACGGGCACGACCAGCGCTGGCACCGCCAGATCTACGAACACCTGGTCCGTATTACAATTGTTTATATCTATAGAAATAATAAAACTTCGTGAATATGATGTGCGAAAAACCATTTTTTTGGAATTTTTACCGTCTGTTCGAAAGACCGCGTTTGAGCTGAGTAATCGCTAAAACGGCTGGCCCGATTCAAATATCGGATAAACTTCTAATTAAAGTTCTTGTTCATTTTTTTTCGTTACAATTGTAAAATTCGTTTTTAAATAAATTTTGTTTCTTGTGTGTTAGGAAAGTCAGCGCGTGCGAGCAGTGACGCGCATGTACGTAAAGAGACCGTAAGAGGACGACAACTGCAGCGCTGCCGCAGCGACCCGCACATCACCCGGCACGCGCACCTTCAAAATGTTGCAGGTACGTCTTAATACTATAAAAATATCTCTTTTACTGCAAATCTATATCCATGTTGTGATTAAATAGTTGTTAATTTTAGAAATGTGTGTAATTTATATAAAAATAGATGTTTTTTTTCTGTAATTTTTCTTTGTTCCTTTTGTTATTAGTGGAAGAAACCAAAGAACACAGCACAAAACCAAGAAGATGGTATTCATTGGATTCTCTGAGGCAGTCGTCGCAACAGGAGGAAAGGGATTCCGCGAGTGGTTAGTTTCTCATACTTTTGTAAAATTCATACACATTGGAATACAATTTGTTAATCTCTTTATTGTTATTTTTAGGATCCCGCTCACCATCGCCGGCGCCATCTAGCGGAGTTGAGAGCAGTTCTATTAAAGACTCACCTCTACAAATTGATTTAGCTTCGGATGGTGGAAATGTTGGTTAGTATAGACTTTGTAAAGGAAATAGTTAGCATCTTAACCCTTTTAGTGCCATACATACTTTACTACTATATGCCAGTAAACAAGTGCATTTTTATAGCTAATTTATATGAATAAGAGAAAGCAGCGCGTCGGCGTTCCGTGGCACTAAAAGGGTTAATAAACAAGATCCACTATTTTCGATATTTTTGATAAGTAAGTAAGTTTATAACAAGTGTCTAATATGCAGATAATGACTAAGATTACGCTTTATAAAGCCTTTTTGTGTGTGAATAGAGTGGGCGGAGAACGAGAATGCGGTGTCGTGCGCGGAGGGCGGTGGTGGGGGTGGTGCTGGGGCAGGAGTGGGCGTGGTGCTGGGCGGGGCGGCGCGCGGCTGGCTGCCGGCGGTGGCTGCGGTGCTGTGGCGACGCATGCTGGCCGCGCTCGGCGACCCCAACCATCTACGTGACCCGCACGCACACGCACACTTCTACAACTACTTGATACATCTCAACTCCACTCTGCTCAAGGTAATACCATTTACTACATTAATCTAGATAAAAAAGTTATGTCCAGATAGTGATCGATTTAATGGAAATCCTGGTAAAATTCTATAAAGAAGTAATGGAGAGACGTCTAGATTATGTTGTAGGGTTCCAGTTCAGGACAAAAAACTTGCTGCTTCTTTAAAATCGAAAATATAATGAAGGAAGAATTTTTTTTTATTTTAAACTAGCTTTTTCCTCGTCTTCGTCAGCGTAGAATTTAAAAAAAATGTGTATGTTAACATACATAAGCTATTTTCTACCTAAAATTGGTTTTTGTTAAACGATTTTGTGATACTATATACTCACAGTTCATTTTTATTTACCGTATATAACTTACCTATGTATAAAAAAACAATTGAGTGTTATTTTAAAATATAAATTTAAAAAATACCTATAATCAATTTATTCCGGTAATATCTACGGACTAAATAAAAGTGCACGAATTCGAGTTCATTTCCCTACAAATTGTTGTGTAAATAACATAATACACCGTTACATCGGCGCGTGCGCAATAAAATCATCTAACTCCAGTTGTATTGACATCTGTTAATGTTTATCACAAATATGGACATTTTACGCGTCATTTATCATTTCGTATCAGAAACTTGGACAGATGTGTGTAATATTATCCTACTTTTTATCTTAAAACGTGTTGTTTTTCTATACCTTTTAAAACAATACTGTATTGTTTATTATAATCACGTAAGTTTTGTTTATGGTGTTACTTAGATTGTGCGAACTGTTGTCTAATACTAAATTATTTAAAGACTGCCAATGCGAAAGAAAAGCAGGAAAAAGAAGGCTTCTAAGGAGGCTAAGAAAGAAAGAGGTTATTATTTATTGTTTTTTTATTGTTGAGGGTATCAGTAAATTTACATTATATCAACCAGTCTAAGGTGATTTTGCGTCTATCTTTAACTGTCAACTAATTTAAAATTAATTTATATTTTTATTTTGTAGCTAATTATCTAATGTTACTGAAGTTTTAGTGATATTTTTACAATAAGTGTTTATAACTAAGAAAATGTGTGGTACTGTGTTTATAAAACTAATTAATTATTTTATTGTTAACGAGATTACTCTGAATAAACGTAAAATGATTGAAAAGGTATAGTTTTCAAAATTAACGATTACGAATTACGAACGGCTTCTGGATAGCCCGTTAATAGTAACGGGCTATCCAGAAGCCGTTCGTAATAAGTAACACTTTTTAATTTTGAAAACTATATATATTATATTATACAATAGGTAAGAAATATTTTGTTACATAGATAAGTGCAAATCAGACGTTAAATGGCAATACGGAGATCCACGTACCGTTCAACTTGGTGGCGGGATGGTGTCTGGAGGCAGAAGCACTTCCGCCCACGCACAGGTATCTACTTTAAGAATAAAACATTTTTTTTTTCGTCAATTACATTTTAATGTATTCAAATTTTTATATATTAATGTTAGGTATATAAAATACCTAAACAAACTTGTGAAAATAACTTTCCAAAATCTAACCAAAAACGTAAGCATATTTTCGCGCGTAGTCTGTCAATTTCGACTGACCTTAAATAATAATTTTGTCATTCGATTCGTTTTATTTCCTTCCTATACATGTGACGTAAAATAAATAAAGCGTTATATTAATTAACAATTTATTCTTTGTTCTTGTGTTTTAGAGCGGGGAAGTTGTTGGCGCTGCGGTTGTTGTGCGAATCGACGCAGGCGCAGGGTCCGGGCGCGCCCTCCTCCTGCAACAACCGTCTGCACCTCGCACATCTGCATCTGTACCAACGAGCTTTACATCATGGTATATACATATATAATCTATTTTAATCGCACTGACTACATACTATATATACTTAAAGATTTCGTACCTTACTAATATTGTATGGTTGCGAGAATCGTTGGCAAGTTCCGTACACACAAAGTTGAATCGTTTACACGAATCGTATCTTCAGTCAGGCATAGCGATGACTTGTCTACTGTATAGATTTACTCCGCCATCTTGAATTGCAGCAGTTTTTTTACCACTATCTTGACAAACATGTTGCAACCGACTGTCTTTGACAATAACAGATAGAAATGACGACGTTCTCTGTTACAAACCTCTATGCATAAGTATTGCGTAATATGCTAAGCATCTAAAATTGCCTGGTTTCATAGGTGTACCTAATGGAGTCCCTTAGTGTGATTTTTTTACAGTGAAACTTGATAGTTTCTTATCTCTTGTGCAGGTTTAACTGGCGAAGACCGATCCGTGGTAGATGTGTTGGTGGAATACGCAGCACCGCGCTATCTCTCGCTGGCTCTGGACGGCTACTCCCTGCTACTGCTTGACTTTGTCCACGCATCCACTGTTGTACTTAACTCCTCGGATATGGGACCATCGGTACGTGGTAAAAGGAAATTATTTTACATATATACTTAAATAAATTTAGTATTCATCTCATCCGTTAAAATTTATTTGTTGTTTATCTAAAGATTAAAATTTAAAAATTTAAGTTAATAAATAAGCACTATATTTAGTTAGTATTTTCCGCAATAATAAAAAAGACGTATTTTATGCGATTGTAATACTAATTATAGTAATATTGCAGTGTCCACGCACTGCGGCGGTGACGTTCCTGGGTTCCCTGCTGGCGCTGCCTGATGAGCTGATGTCAGCGCCCATGCTGCAGCCCTACCCACACCAATACAACACCGTATCTTGTCCCGACCTGAAGGTACGTACGAGTACTCTTCTGACTGCCGTGCCAACTTTAGTGCCAAGTCTACTGCTTTATACTAAACCTGTATGTTGTCAGTAAACTAAATTTTATAAGATAAAGTGTAATGGATTCGTTTTTTTTTTAAATAAATATTATTATATATAATGTTGAAAAGTGCTCTTTAAGAGCAGCGACAGTAGGTAGTCGATCTTTTAACATATATGTACATATTTAATTTTCAACGTTTTGTTTTTACCCTTATATTAAATATAAAAAGTGAATATGTACGTACGTATGTTGTACCAGGAACACGTGCTGAATATAGTGGTGCGCGTGTGCCGGCGCGAGGGGGCGGCGGCGGCGCGGTGTGCGGGCGCGTGCGCACTGGCCGCGCACGTCGCGCACCTGCTCGCCACGCGGCAGACGTGCGCCCGCCTCCCCGCCTACCTCACCTGTCTGCTGCAAATGCTCATGGTAATACCTCCTACCTTTAATTGCTGCATTCAGATTAGTCACTAATGGAGACCAATTGATACATAGAAGGAACAAAAGTGGTAAATTAGTTGCCATGTTTTTCACACTTAATTTGCTAGTGGTTTACACTGGTTATTTCCTTTGTTACAGATGAAAAATAAAACAATAGCCAAAGTAGTTAGCGATGCTATACTCGTGCTAGCGGACTACACGGATTGTATCGTTGAACTTTACCCTGGACTTGCAGGTAATTATTAAAGACATGACACAAATTGACTTGGCACGTCTGGAAGAAGATCATTCTTACTTCAGGCGTGCCAAGTATTAAAAGCAAATTATTATTTTAAACAGAGAAAATAATAAAATGGATATGCGCGTGCTTGGCTCAAATATCAAGTAGCAGTGGTCGTGATTCTGTGAAGCCGTTAGCAGGCTCGTTGTTACTGTGCTTGGCTGAGTTCGCGGTGCGCTGCGGCCCTGCTTACCTCATGAAGGAAAATGAAGGAGAACAAACATTACTGCTTACTATCTTCAAGGTAAGACAAATGTACTTATGTTGCGTTACAATCGTAAGATATAATA